AAGAAAAATAACCTTTTGTTAAAAATGGAATGCTTAACAAAAGAATTCGGTTTAAGCTTCTTGTTAAAAATACTCATTCGATTAGAAAAGCAAGTGTTTTATAACAATGCATATATACAGATTTTCCCGGTTATGTACTTCATGGCCACTCTTCTGAACTACATCTGAAAAAAAAAAACAAATGGAAAAATTGGTATAGAAGTTACGTGAGTCAACAGGTTTCAATCTGTGTAACTTACTCTACGTCGTCTTTTGTTAGCGCTTTGCCAGAAAGCAGAAGCGAAGCAAACTTGGCTGCAATAGGATCGTTATTCATAGATGCTACAGCAACTACCTTTCCTTCTCTACAAGAAAAAGTTCAAAAATTTATTATAAAAATGAATCACTACAAAGCAAACTCTAACCAAAGTGGGACATTGTTCTCATCATATACACAATGCTGAGTGAGAAAACAATTGGTCGAAAGGGTTTCATTCATAACTGTCAATTTTAAGGAAACACTCGACTGGTCGAATGGTTGCCCAAAAGGGTACAAACTGACAGTTCGTATCTAATTTGCAGAGGCTCGTATGCCAGTGCAAACCTAGCTTAAAGTGTAAATTGTCTACATTGTGTAACCTAATAACGTGAGGAGTAAACTCAGTGATGCCAACTAGTTTAACAGGTAATTCCTAAAAACAGTAGTAAATAAATGTTAAAGATTTAAGCATTTCTCACGTGTAGCAGGATAATATAATATACAATCAGCTCACAGCATCTTGAAGTCTACTCTTCACAAATAAATTGGTTATTTTACTACATATGAAAGCTTACCTTATATAATATGCAACAAACTGCAATTTATGTGCATCGCCATGCATTGTAATTTTATCAAATTTTCCTCCATATCCTAAAAATTTAAAATAGCTTTTAAAAAGGTGTTTAATATAATTATATTTGGTGAAATATAAATTCATTTACCGGCATATCTGACACTCTTCCCAAATAACATGGACCAAAAGAATGGAACCGTCAGCAATTTTTCATTTTTATTTAGCATGTTCAGTGCGGCACATCTTCCTGAAAATTAATCACGCAAATGTCATTTCCTTGTAGATATGATACTAAAACAAACTGTGTTTCCCTTCTTTTACTTACCGTGAGCCATTGCTAGTTGCCAATGTCCAATATTTACTCTGGCATCCATTACAGTCAGTGGAAATTCGACGATATCACCTCCGGCAAATATGCCATCCACGTTTGTCTTCATATACTAAATTACAAAGCATTTCATTAAATAACATATCTACACTAAATGTAGATTTCTTAGATTAATCTCCTACCTCGTCGACTACAATCTGCTTTGAAGTATTTAGTTTAATATTTGTATTTTCAAGGAACTCTGTCGACGGTAAAACTCCTGTAAATTGATTTAAAAACCACACTTAACAAGATAAATTGATTTAAATACTGAAATTTCTAATGTTTAAAAGTGGACAAAGACTCGTCGGCTTTAGAGATGATGCAGGCATGACATAGAATGAGAAAATGGCTATTAAAATTGCAATGTTACTGGTGGCCCTTAAAAATGTGGCAATGTCGTAACCAAGCAGCATTACTAGTGGCTGTCAGAAGTGCAGCAATAGTGCAAATATACCAAAAATTGGATCAGGATCTTCTTTTGCCGAATCACCATGTACCACCACAACAAACGATAATCAACGGCACAAACTTGCTATTTTCATGATATGTTGCACACATTGCATCAACCTTTGTAAAACTCACTCTCAACGAGACCAAATTGTCAAACGTGCGTTTTGCAAAGTTTATTGTGTTATAATAATTGAAAATTTGTAACATATCCTCACCAATGCCAATTACGCAGATATCGGCAGGTATACGCTCTCCGGTTTTCAGCACCACTTCAGTTAGAATTCCTTTATTTCCTACAAATTCTGCTATACCGTTTCCATTGTAAAATTTTATCTCGTGCTCTTCCAGAAGCTACAAGAAATTTAATTTTTAAATGCACTTTTATAAAAATAAAATACAACAAGAGTTATTTTTACCTTTTGAAGACCTTTTCCAATGTCTTCTCCTAAAACATTTAAAAACGGAATGGTGGAATTTCCAATAATTGATATGGAATTTGCCTTGTCGGCCAAGTAAGCTGCAACTTCCATCCCTAAGATAATATGCAAATTTAATATATAAAGACAAAATTTAGAAAACAGTAAATTTCTCTAGTTTACCAATGAATGAAGTCCCTAAAATCACTACATTCTTTTTTCTACTCTTCTCGGCAATCACATTAGCATCTTCGACAGAGCGTAAATAATGAATATTCTTTAGATCTACATTATCTAATGTTCTTGGTCTGGAAAAGAAATTTTGCACTGTAATTTCAGCACAGAAGATATATATTATCGATACTTTCAGATAGATAATGCTACCTTCCTCCGGTCGCAATCATAATTGCATCGTACTGAATGCTAGTGCCATCACTACAAGTTAACAATCGTTTCTCCGTTTCTATAGACGTTACCTGAAATCCAAATAATTGCAATCTGTATGAAATTTACTCGGATAAGAACTTGTTTACACTGAATTTTCTTTATAATACCTCACGATTTAACCACAATTCTATGTCGGCAGACTGATAGTAGTCTGGTGATCTTAATGCCAAATCTTCGGCTTTTGCAGAAAGAGCCTGAAAATAATAAATTTAACAACGAAATACAATTGTTCGAAGATTAAATAAGAAAAACTGGCATTATTTACTTTACTCAGCTTTGGTCTATCATAAGGACGATTGGGTTCTTTTGATATAAGAATGAGACGACCGGTGAAGCCTTCTTGTCTCAAGGTTTCGACACACGTCTGTCCTGCGCCACCTACAAAATACATTGTAAACTGTACATCGAGTGCATCACTTTGGACTTAAGCTATAACGTATGACAGGCCCTTCTCCTTGAAATAAATGCAAAAAAATGCTCGTAACACAAGGCCCTAAACTTCAGTATAGTTAGTTTATGCCATATCACAGTGATTTCTTAAAAGTATAAAAAATTCAATAACAAATACAACACTTCTGCTTGACAGCCAGATATACGATACAACTAAGGTGTTAATCTATCACTATAGAGGACCTGGGATCAAGGGTTTCTTTCAGGGAGTCTGGGAAGGTATAACCTTCAAGGTGAGTGAAAAATACTGTCTCATATAAAAAAATCTTGTAAAAAGAAAAGATTATTGGTTCTATGTACATATATATATAAAAGAATTCAATAATCAATTGTATTTAATTAAAAAGTAACCTCCCAAAAATGTTTTCTGAAAGAAACACTGCTGAGATCAAATTCAGAAGAGCAACTGCACTCACACAACAAAAAAGAATACTTTGGATTGTATAAAAAAATCATTCTCCTTAAGGTTTAATGTGGTTATACGAAAGGTCCTTAAATATATCTTGATTTATTTTTATTAAATATTTGATATTATGTTCGTGTTTAACAGAATTGGGTCAATGTCACTTGAAAAAGCCTTCAAAATATATTTAAAATTGTCTTACAATTTTAAATATGGGTTATCATTTTCTGACTTCTAGTTACTGTAAGACAGTAACTAGAAGTTAGAAAATGATAACAATTTCAATAAATTAAACATTTATAAACATTATAAACATATTCTTAGTGCTTAAAATTAATTTAAATCACGTTATAACATATGTTACACTCTTTTTTAATCAGAAATTTTTCCTCCCCGGGGGTGCTTAGAGGATCTTTTCTCGTATCTATTGCAAGTCTGGTGAGGTCTGCAATACGAGTGACTGTGTGTGTGATGAGGGATAGGACCATTTGTAATGCAGTCATCTGGCAAGTATTAATAAATGGTACTTATAATTATAAAATTATTTTTAACTTTTGAATTTGTATCCTTTGATTTATTCTGGATCTGCTGTTAGACATTTGTAATCGTGTGATTTAAGCAAGTCAATAACTTCTCTTTTCTTCGTCTCGAAGACAATATTTGCCAGCCACCACTACAACAACACCAATGACAACATGAAAAACAATAGATATTATTTACAACAAAGCATTTTTTTCACAGACAGCTTTAAATTTAGAAAAATCAAAGAATAGTTTACCTTCAATTTTAATAGTGGATTTTTTATAACAATAGAAATATGATCTAATCGTTATATTAAAGCAACAGTATGGCATATGACAGTATAAATACAAGACGACAATCCGGTATTATTCACAGTTTCTAACGGCCGATTACTTACAGAAAAGTTATTAAACATATGATTTTCATGTTTGTTAGAAACCCAGTTTATATCTTTTTATAATATATATCGACAACAATTGGCTATTTTGATATCATTTGCATGTGCATTTATGAAAGTCAGAAATACTAGAAAGAGGTTTGTTCATGTATATAATAAAAAATTGCTAAGAACAAAACTTTGTGGGATGCTTATTAAAAGCGTAAATTCACAAAAATAAAAATCAGATATCTTGATTTTATACGTACAAAGTAAGAAGTAATTATTAAGACATGTTAGAAGTAAATTACTTACATCAAATTCAGTAGATAGCTTATCCAGAGGAATGTTAGAGCTAGCTATATCGAAGGCTTTAGAAATATCAATATAAGTAACGTATGTTGAAAGTTTTAATTCATAATTTGTTAATATTACTTGTTGGATTTATAACAGATTAATAGTAATTGAAAAATTAACACCAGAGTGTCGAGAAAAAGAGAGATGGGATATAATCAGATAGTACACAGCTCTATATGAACAACTTTCAAAAATGTTTAGCATGGCAGGAATTTTTTACTTATTTTGTGTTAAGGTTGAGGAAATTTTGCAAATAGAAAATATAATTAACTCATAAACTGTCAAAAATCATTTCTATTTATCAATTTTAAGCCTACTTATTAGTTTTTTTAAATTTTTACTTGTTATGGCATCCCACAGATTGTTAATAATCAATATGTAGTCTATTTGTGGCAGGACTGAAAATTCTTTACTTGTTAGAACCTGTAATACTTGAATAATTGCACTGATGCTGTCTTAATTTTTAACCATGCCCATTAGCTTCAATAACTACATTACGGCAGATTGTGCAAATTGGGCAAGGATACAAACGAAGTTTTTCTTCATAAACCTGATTATTAAAGCCAAACAAACTGCCAAATTATTGGGCCATAAGCTTGATGCCGCTATTAAAGCAGCCAAGGTAGACAAATCTAAAATACTAGACAGCAAAAGAAGTACTGCAACACATCTCAAAAATGAACTAGAAATCTTCGATGCTACAGGTGAAAAAAAACATAACATCTGTCTTCTCTTAAATGCATTAAAGACGATTCCACCCATATCAATTGAAACAGAAAGGGCATTCTCGGTAGCAGGACTTTTCATTACTAAAAAAAAGAACCAGATTGAGCAATTGGAGTGTTGACCATCTTTGCTTTTTAGAATCTTATTATAAAAATTTACAATAATATTTTGTATTATGTTTTATTTAAAGAATGAAAATTACCTTCTAAGTTAAAAGTTTGATCCAAGTTCATTTTATTTCTTTAAATTTTCAACTCAATTCAAAGGCTTCTTTTTTGTTGTTGTTGTTGTAACCAGTTTCTAACAAACTTTAATAAATTTTTTCTATTTGTGAAAATTTCTACATAATTCAAAGGTAATTTTTAATATGTATTTTACACATCATTATTATTATTTTGTAGATTGCAGGATGTATTAAATTACTTAAAAAATGAAAAATAATTATATCATTTGATTTCAAGATTTATTTTATATCTTAAAAATAATTAATTATATGTCAAGATTTCACAGGATCCTGGGAAATAGATCAGTTTTTCCTTGAAATTCCAAGACAAGCAAAGAACCGGAAATGAAAAATCCTAACTGCAATAAAGCAGTTATTTCTGACTTGTTATTAAAAACTTTTAGAGTCTAATCTAACATGTATTTATGAATTTCACTTCCATGTGATTCCATGAGGTAGCTGTTACAATTAATCTTATCTCCCATTTCCCAGATCAAAGAAATAAGACTGGTTCCTATCAGTTATTATCAGCTACTCATGCTATCCAAAACTATCTGAGCAGATTGAGAAGGATTGGTAGAGGTGGACTACTGATATGGCCATCACAATTGTCTGACTTGACTCCATTGGATTTTTCCACTAGAGTTACTTTAAGAGCTTAGTTTATGACACACCTGCAATAATATTGGACACCATCAATTTGAAGTGTTCATGTAACAACTTTGCCATTAAGAAATTAAATAAAGCTATGAAATGTTATCAGACTTTTTATCATTCTTTACTGATCTTTATCTCAATACTGGGTTCATTTCTGGACAGAGGTCTATAAGGCAAAAATTGACACACTCAGTCCATTCTATATGCCCTCTAAGTTTGCAATAGGAATTAAGTAACAGTGTATATGTCTAACATAAATATCATTAAAAAATTGTAAAAAAAACATCTGAAATTTAAAAAAATAAAATAAATTCTAAACATAAACAACTTTCAAAACAAATACTTTTCAGTATTTGTTTTTTTTTTGACAATTTTTTTATATTTATGTTAGACATATACACAGTGTTACTTATTTTTCTTTCTTTCTCAGCATTCCTTGAAATATTTCATACTGATTAAGATCAATACAAAAAAAAGCTACCTTGGTAACTATTAAAATTGTACTTTTTAATTATTTATTGATCTCAATAGATAATCATCAAGTAATCCACAAAAAGTAACATTTCAAAGTTCAATCCAGTCTTAACTATTTTTTTCAATTTTTTAAAAAACTGATAAAGACCAGATAAAGTCAGATATTATACTTAACTAAAACAGCACTGAGAGTTTAGAAACTACTTAGCTAAACTGGAAGACAGAAATCAACAAATGAAATCCTATATTCATTATGGTTTTTCTGTTCAATAAATTTTAAGTAAAAATGTGAATTCAGTTAAATAAATTCTACACAGATCCAAAAATAAATTTAAACATTGATGTTAATAAAATTTTTAAAAATTTAAGTTTGATTATTATATATGGCAAAATTTTATTGCCCTATTCAGAAGAACACAATTACATGACAATTGTAAAGAAAAAAAAATCAGTAAATTCCAAAGAACCAAATAATTAAATATAAACAACCTTAAAACCAACTTTTAGATTAATGTCAAATGACTACTGGCAATTGATTGGCATTAATTAACAACATCATATACAGAATATTGATAAGATGTTTTAAGATGAAATATCTCTTATAACACTAATAAGAAAACACAAAGAATAACTACAAATTTTTTAATGAAATTAAAATTTGTTTAAAGATGCTTAATAAAAATAACATATGTTTGTAAATATATATACTGTATCAGGAACATGTGATGAATTTAAAATATAAGACTGACTAAAATAATTCAGTCAAACATATAGCAATTAANAAAACAAACTTTTTTTAATACTCTTACACAATATTTCAATATTTCAAATGTTATTTTTTTTTTATTTCCATAATAAAATCATTTTTTACTGTGTTCTTTTCTTTAACATACACATTCTGCACAGTCCTTGCCATCATCACATTCATTCTTTGTCTCTCCTAATGAATATTTCAAAATTCCAAATTATTTTATGTTTAATAATAGTATTATACATTTTGCAAAATTTTTTGAATCGCATATGTGTTATCTTTATACCCAGACTTATTCTGAGTGTTGTTATGAGTATCTGGTAACACAACAGAACATATTTTTAATAAAGACAGAATTAATGAATTTTGTTTTATTTCATTATATTTTATGTTCAATCCTTTATTTCATCTACAAAAAATTATAAATAAATGCAGAAATTAGTTAAAGATTTGTTACTTTATTAAGATTGAGAACATATTTTTAATAAAGACAGAATTAATGAATTTTGTTTTATTTCATTATATTTTATGTTCAATCCTTTATTTCATATTCAAAAAATTATAAATAAATGAATGCATTTACAAACAAAAATATTTAAGTATATACCATTGTCGTATAACTTTTTAATCATTTATGTTCAAAATTTGCAAATTAAGAGATAAAATTTAACCAAATTAAGAATTTATA